CGCACTGCAGTCTACAGGCATCGTCAAGTTTGCAAAAACCGACTTAAATGCTGAGGCCATGCAAACAGACCGCACTCATCTTCGATGACACCAAACAAGGAGAGGCTGCAAATCCCACGTCATGCGACTTATACACATGTTCCATGGTTCATGTTGCTCTCCAACGGCCCACTAATCAGCAGTCCTGAACCTCGAACAACGACGAACCAAGATCTCAACTATCTCCGCCCTTAGCCGGTGTTTCCAGCGCTGTCCACGCGACTTGAGCAGCAAACAAAGTCGTCTGATAGCTCACTGATGGCAACTTTCGAAGTGGCAGTCACCAGCTCTACTGTGAGCGTCTGTGAGACAAAGAGATCTTGGTTTCCATGACACACTGTGCACGGCTGGGGAACAACAAGGCTCTGTTTGTCAGGGGTGACTGGTCAGATTCGGCAGTCGACCTGTTGACAGGACTCTGCCAGTATAGCCGTGAACGCAGACAGGTGATTCTGGCTCTCAATCCCGTCAAGCTACCTACAAGAGGACCATGCAAAAGTCTGCGGAGGATATAAAGTACATGGGACTCACAGCTCCATCAGTCGCGGGTTCATGGCCTGCGACATGATCTGACTCAAGCAAAAGTGATGCAAGTTTCCTTTGGACATTGAATGGCGTATACAATCCATTTTTCCTACGAAGAGACACTGATTTACCATCTCCCAGCAGAGAGATAAGTCCTCTTCAACGGCGCCATGGCCTGTGCATCAAATCAATGAGCAAGAAAGAAATGGGTGGTGCAAGCACTTTGAAGCTGCCTCGAAGGCATGCTGCCTCTCGAGTTTGTCAGCTTCGCAACTACCAGCAATTTACACGCATAGAACCTTTCGAATACAACCGTGCCCACCTGTTCTTAACCATACCCGCCTCGCCGCCTACTATCTTTCGAGATTGATAGAGCAGGGAAGAAACAACTGAAAAGAGATCGTCAGAACCTATGGCTTTGACTGAATGATTCGGTATTGGATTGACGGTGCTCAGCACCAGGGCAGATTGCCGTCACTCGCTCAAGTAACTGCTAGGACTGCTCAGCCAACATCTGAACACCGATTCACTGCTCTACTTAACACACCCGTCTCCATCCACTCCACTCCATCAGTCGTGCTTAAATTCGTGCAAGCGATCAGCAGGAGGTTCTCACAGCAACAGGCCCCTAAGAGGAAACACGACCTATATCTCGGTCGTCATCCTCGGCAAGCGGACGCCCTGAAGTCGTCGTACAAAGAAACCCAAGATCCTATCGTCTACACGGTAGACTCTCCAGGTACCGCCATGGCCATCTTCAAAGACATCCTGTTGCCTCCATGGAAGGCTTCAGTCACAATGCTCATGCCCCATGTAGTCAAGGGAGTGCGTCACCGTGAAACTCCGCCGCATTCTCTATGGCCTCCCGCAACCACTCTTCGTCGTTGTCAGCCAGCTCCGGCAACCCCGAAGATGTCGTTACCTCGTTCTCATCCGAGTTTCCGTCGGCACTATCCTGGTCAAAAGCTTCTGACAATATCACCGCCCACTCGGATTCAGTCTCTTCATACGCAACAGGCATGTCAGCGGCCGTCAAATCCAACGCGAGATCTAACCCACCATGGATAGGCTCCCATGGCAGAGGATCCAAATCGAAGCCTTCAAGCATATCTTGCATCGGCAGATTGGGAGACAAAGCGACGTCTTCTCCTTTGATGGCTGAAGTCGGGTTTTCGTCGAGGTTCCCGTTTGCATCTGTGGCCAAATCCGTAGATTCCAATTCGGTGGTGGATTCGGCAAATCTCACTCGCTTGGCAGGTTTCGCTGCGGTCGGAGAGTTTGGTCTTTTTCGCTTCGAGCCGTGTGAGGACAGTGCACCTGAGTCGCTAGCATTTGGCGTTCTGTCAGGCTCCAGGCTACTCTGATGAGAGAGAGGGACGTCTTCTGACTGCGGATGTGCAGGGCCAAAGCCTGGTTGCACCGCCTTGGAGGCATCGCTGTCAAGGTCTGCGGTCCATGACAGTACTTCATCCACCAGCCCGGCCGTCAATGCTCCGGCCGGTATCGCTGCCGCGAAGTCATTCAATCTGGCCAATCTGGCGATCTGGACCATCAGAACATAAGACACTGCCGACTCTCGAGCCGTACGTAGTGGCTGAGATGAGACCTGCACATTCGGAGAATCCAGCATACTTATGACGGGCGCCGCAACCAGGTCAAAGATTGCACTTTCAAAGGCTGGGCAATTGCGAATATTCCGAAAGCTGAAGAAGCTCTCGCTCGCAGAGTTGCATGGCCAGTTTGTCATGCGCAGAATGAGTCGCTTGCGTTGGAGACCTTGGCTAGCACTATACACGGTGTCGGCATCGATGATCTGACCAGCACGCACTCGCGACTGGCTCCAGTAACCCACCATGCATTCTTTGTACCGATGCAGGTCTTCGGCCGAATCCCAAAGCTGGTGCTCTCTCCCGTTGTGCTTGAATGTTCTTGTCAATGCCAGTTGTCGAGGGGATCTGTCGTCTCTGGCTTGACGGTGAGGGTATCTCCGAATCGCTGGAGCAGTGGGATTGGGAAACTTGCCCTGGAGTTTCGACGCGCCGTATTTCTCAGTGCCGTCCATCATGCATGGTCGGATCTTTGGTGCAGTGCACAAGGCGGTGACTTCTTCAGCAGAAAGGCTCGACAGGCGGGCGTCGAGTCTCTTCGTCAAGAAGTTGGCTCGGTTTGCCCAGGCCTTGGATTTCGTGATGCCGAACGACTTGAACTCCTCGATGGCCTTGTCCGTCAAGCAGGAGTATATGTCAGTGGCCGACCAATGCCACTGGATGAAGGCGTCAAGGTAAGACCCGCGAATGTGGTTCGGATACTTGCTGCAGAGCTCTTCTAGAGACGCTTCAGGTGGGGTCGGTTGGTCAAAATGAGGGAAGGATGGCAGTTCGGAGTAGACACGAGGTTCGTTGTCTGTCCTATGCTCGTGGACTCCTGGTCTCGACCCCACCGATCCTGCTAACGGTGTCAGATAGGTATTTGTATATGGTACTATATAGTAAGGAGACAACTGACCGTACTTCATCGAAGAACGCACTGAAGCACGCTGTTGCTTGTCCATGGGCAGAAGCACTACCGCTGTCGAAGAAGTATCGAAGGCTTTACTGGCAAGGGGAAAGAAAAGGAGAAGGTCAGGTAGGTACCTGGTGATAGGAAGATACCTGGTGGCCCCTTATCGCCCACGGTTGATGCTATTTGAGGGGACAACGAGCTGCTGCTGCTGCTGCTTTGTCTCTGCGTTTTGGGCCTTTGAGAGTGTGTCGGAATTGCTGGCTGGCTTTGCTTTGCTTGCTTGCAGAGGGATGAAGTAACGGCTTCCGAAGACGATCTTGTTGCTGTGTTGAGTTGCACTCTGAGAATGCAGATGAAAGAACAGGTACACTTCGCTACTACTTAAGGGATCGCCGTGGTCTTCAGCATCAGCATCCAACCCCGGCGAGGCTGTGGCATCGAGATGCCTTGCCTTGCACCCAAAGCACAGTCGTCGACAATGCCTGAGCATACTGTCTCGCTGGACGACAAAGCCAACAGCCTTGGCCAGGGGCAGGGCAGGGCTGCGTTCCCCCGTGCAAACAAAGGACATCAAGGCAAGATTTTGAGACACTAAAACTGCCTTGGACAATCAATTCAGTTCAATTCAATCTACATGGGGCAGTTCGAAGCAGGGCAGTTAACGGAGCAGAGCGGAACCCGCCGCGTTGTGAGTCTCAGTTGCTGTAAAGGAGGTGAGTCTCATTCGTTGCTAATAGGGGTTGTTCCTTTGTTATGGACAAGACAGTTGACTTTCCTCAAAGCGAGCCAGTGGCTGAGCACTCACATAGGGAGAGGGAGAGAGAGACATGCGAAGCCTTCACTTCAACGGAACTACCTCACCGCTTCCGCAGCATTTCTCATATGCATTGCCAATACCTAATGCCTGATACATAGACAACAACGAGAAGGACGACAAAAAGGGGGTTTCGACCAATTGTTTCTGTCTCGGGTACTGAAAGCCTCTCTCCCTGATAGATCAGCCTTGTCTGTCTCTCTCTCCCTCTTTCTTTCCGCTTTGTCCCAGACCGGACGGCTTTCTGTACGAGCCAATAAAGAATAGACAGACGAAGGAGAACAACCCCCCCCCCCCCAAAAGACAACAAAGCCCACGCGTGGTTGATGCCCAAATGCTCCAATGTCCAATGTCCAATGTCTGCCAGAGCTTATTCAACCAACCAATCAACCCTACTCGGCGCCTAGCTACCCGTCTAGTGTCCAATTAGGGGGTGGGAGAGAGAACTCGCTTAATTACCTCCTGTCTTTTCCGTTTCGTCTGTCCCGTCTGGCGTTTCTGGCTTTTCTCACCTCATCCCCATCTCTGCCCTCCTGAAAAATAGTCTGCATGATTGTCCACGTGAAGTCTTGCTGTCAAACAAAGAACCTGAGAACTTCTACGAGGGGGTCACGGTGGTCAGGGAGTCAGGGGAAATTCCCAGCCTCGTCATGCCTGGTCGAAGCCTTGCGGAAGGGCGATTCGGCCAGCCTCGCGTCGATGCCTGCAGCCGGACTTATGGACACAGTCAAAGTGAACTGAAAAGAGGCATGGAGGTATCCAATTCGATCATAATTCAATTTGACGACATTTTGATTCTCAACATAGTAGCCGAACAACGATAAGCAAAATAGTGCTACTGCCATAGAGAGCACCTACATATACCGACTCAGTAACTTTGTACTGATATTTGTAAGGCAGTGGGTATCAGAAAGTCAGGCAGGTGCTAGGTATTGCTGCCGGATGCTGTCCTACGAGGACCACACCAGACACAATGCCGACAGCCCTTGAAGCCAGTCTCCATCACCTCCACCACGCTTATAGCAATGCTGTCACAACCTCCACCTCGGTGACAGATTTTCACATCTCATCATTATCATCACCCCTCTACCACTTTCGCCCCCGTCACGCCGTCGGCTAGTCATTCACCCTTCAGCTTATCCTGCGTGACCGTGAAGGCGTCATTGAGCAGTGCTTGCTCTTCCTTAATGTGGGTGGCTTTCAGACCCGTCGCGACTGAGGCACTAGGATCTCGGCCTGCGTACATGACGTGCCGTCTGTTGTGGTGCTCCGTCTCATTCAGTAGCGTTTCAATCCGTGGTTGAACAAAACTCCATGCTCCAGCGTTGAGAGGCTCCTCCTGACACCAAACGATCGTCTTGGCGTTCTTATAAGTGTCGAGATTCTCTTTCAATAGTGCCCATGGGAAGGGGTTGAGCTGCTCGATGCGGGTGATTGCAACGTTCTTGATGCCCTTGTCCGCACGGTGCTTATGCAAAGCTGCATACACTTGACCCGTGCATAAGACGACGCGGTCAATCTCGTCTGCCTCAACGATTCCCTTGCCGTGCTCTGGATCTGGGATGATCCATTGGAAGTAGGAATCGCCCGTAAAGTCTTCCAAGTCGGACCGGGCAAGAGGATGGCGAAGAAGCGATTTCGAGAAGAACACAATCAATGCTAGTAGTAGACAGTATGTCAGTCAAGCACCATGTTTTCCCAGGGATAGTGTTTTTACTCACGTTTTCTGAACTGCCTGTTCATCTGTCGTCGGAGAATGTGGAAGTAGTTGGACGGCGTCGTCATGTATGCCACCTGCATGTTGCAGTCTTGGTGCTGTCGATCAAGCTTGTCTGGTGACGGGAATACTCGAGGCTCCTCATTGCAGAGTTGCAGATACCGTTCCATGCGGCCACTGCTGTGCTGTAGGACCAAGAAGTTAGTCTTGTTCATCAGTCCAGACAGGGTTGTGGAAAAAACTTACCTCAGGTCCCTGTCCATCATAACCATGAGGGAGGGAGCAGACGAGGCCAGACCTTTGCAGCCACTTGACCTCTCCCGATGCGATGAATTGATCAATGATACATTGGGCGTTGTTGGCAAAATCTCCAAATTGCGCTTCCCACATGACAAGCGCATTGGGCGACGAGAGAGAGTAGCCATATTCAAAACCCAAAACTCCGTACTCACTCAAGGACGAGTTGGAGATAGTAAAGGCTCCTTGCTCTTTGGCAAGATTATTGAGAGGTGTCCAGGTCGCTTCGGTCTCCTGGTCGTGCAAAACAGCATGACGCTGGGAGAAGGTGCCTCGCTCAACATCCTGGCCGGACACACGAACATGGTGACCTTCAAGACAAAGGGTGCCGAAGGCGAGAGCCTCAGCCGTCGACCAATCAATGCCCTTGCCCTCCTCAACAGCCTTCTTGCGACCAGCGAGAATACGTTTGAGGTTACGATGGACGGTGAAACCCTCCGGGGCATCAGCAATCTTTGCCCCGATCTCTTTCAGCATATCAGATGGAACTCCAGTGGGAGGATGGGGAAGGACTTCGGTGGCGAGCTCCTTGGGCGATTTGAAGCCATTCCAGGCGGAGGTCAGCCATTCCTTGCCCGTAGGTTGATAGTCTTTGCTTCGATCGAAGCTGTCATTGAGCATTCCCCAAACCCATTTCTTGTGCTCGTCGATGTCTTCTTTGGTGAAGGTGCCCTCCTCGATCAGCTTGTCAACATACTTGTCGATTTGAGGCTTGATGGACTCTATTCGCTTGTACATGAGCGGTTGAGTGAAGGCCGGTTGATCCGTCTCGTTGTGACCCTGCTTCCGATAGCAGACAATGTCGATGACGCAGTCTTTCTTGAAATCAGCTCTCCAGTCAGCAGCCAGTTGGCAGACGAAGTTGACAGCTTCTACATCGTCGCCATTGACATGGAAAACAGGGGCGTCGATTGCCTTGGCGATATCCGAGCAGTAAGGAGTCGATCGGGCGAATCTGGGATCGGTGGTGAACCCAATCTGGTTGTTAACGATGATGTGGATCGTACCACCAGTGGAGTACGCAGGGAGAGCATGGAAACCCAGCGTTTCGTAGACCACCCCTTGAGCCGCGAAGGCAGCGTCACCGTGAAGCAAGACACCCATCGCTGTTTGGTGTTTCTTCTCGTCATCATTGTAGTGTTGAATGGCCCTGGTTTTTCCCAGCACAACGGGATCCTCGGCTTCCAAGTGAGAAGGATTGGCAACCAGGGACAGTTGGACGCGCTTGCCAGACGGCGTCGGTCGTTCAAAGTTCATGCCGAGATGGTACTTGACATCACCGGAGCCTTCGTCACTTGCCTCAGTGGTGCCCGAAAATTCACTAAAGATGGACTCGTTGGGTTTGCGGACGACGTTGCTCAGAACGTTCAGTCTTCCTCTGTGCGGCATCCCAATGACAATGTCTTTGATCCCATAGTCCACGCTCCTGTCAATCATGGCTTTCATGCCCGGAACGAGAGTCTCGCAACCTTCCAATCCAAAGCGCTTGTCGTTGGGGTACTTTGTGGCCAAGAAAGCTTCAAAGCTGGAGCTCCAGATCAGTCTGTCGAGGATGCGGCGCTTGTCATCCACAGAGTATTTGTACGGGGTTGGCACTTCAATCCGGTTTCTGATCCAGTCACATTGCTCTCGATCCGGAATGTGGATGTACTCGACACCATATGACCCGCAATAGATCTTCTCGCAGGCAGCGATGATATCACGCAGTTTCATCTTCTTCCGCGACTCGGTGGCAAATCTGGGGAGAATACCTGGTCCAAGGACAAATTCTTGGTCCAGGTCGGCCTCCGTAAAGCCATAGTGATCCAGCTCCAACTCTTTTGGTCTGCGGTATCCAAATGCTTCTGCCTCGCCACGGATACCAAGAGGATCGGTCTTGGCTTTGTGATGTCCGGTTGACTGATATGCTCTGACAAGCAGCTGGACTTTCAAGTGATTTGTGACGTCTTCGCCTGCAGTGCCGGCCACTGCGCTGGGAGCGAGGCTGGCTGCCCCTTCAGCTTGGGAAATGAGGCCCGGAGGAGGCTGGAATGCTTTCGACACGGGCATCGTCCCTTCTTCCATGTTGTGAAAGTAGGCTTGCCACGAGACATGGACAGACGACGGGTCTTGCTTCCATGCCATGTACATTTCGTCGATGTAGTTCGCGGTGTTGCCTTGCAGGAAGGAATCGTTAGGATCCTGTTGGAACGTTCAGACAATTCTTCTCTCCACACAGCAGCACCTAGGGAGATACATACCACCCCCTTGTTGCTCTCTTCAGCTGCCATAGCATAGCTCCTGCGCTGCATTGAGCTGTGAGCCATGACAGCTAGTGGTTTCCACCCGGCGACGAGGGCATTGCGACGACCTCCGGAGACCACGCTGACATTGGATGAAGTGCAGAAAGCCCTTGAAGCTTGCGCAGCTCGCAAGGGGAGCTTGCCCGCAGCATAGCGATACATGATGTGGGTGGTGATGGTGAGCTAATGATACAGAGAATGATCCATAGGAGAAGAAAACAGGTTCAAATGAGCGAACCGCACCTGAGCCACACCACTGACACGAGAGTGGAAGGCGGTTGAGACTAGGGATAGACAACGAAGAGTCGAGATTGAAGGTGCAAGAAGCGGAAGTGTGAGGAAGTCCTAGATCAAAAGGTCAAGGCTGTTATTACGCAAATCCCGCAAACCAGTTTAGGAAGAGGTGCTGCCCTGTAAAAAAAGTCGCACGTGAATGGGGAAACATAGCCGATGCCGAGACAAGCCAGAGATGCATGAATCATAAACATGATATGATTGGTGCGTCTAAACTTGGCAGGAACGCCGAACCAATCCTTCTCCTCTCTTCAAGTGCTGACAATATACCAAGTACTTGTACATCACCTACCTGTACAAGGCACAGTGTTGCTGAGTACTTGTATACAAGTGTATATATATTTCAAGTTTCTATGGGGTATCATATCGTCATCTCCAATGTACTTTTGCAAGGCCATAATCTATATCCAATCAGGCGACCCTCATCTTTCGCAGGTATACTTCCGCATATTATCCTGCTCTCAGATCCGAGCTCCAGCTAGATACTCGCGGTCAATAACTTCAGTTCCGCTCCCTTCATCCGTCCTTCTCCTCTCCAAAACCCATCCACCATCCAAATCACGAGCATAGCTTACGCTTTCCGCACCACTGCTGGTCCGGCTGTGATGGCCTTTCCGTCTTTCAAACCCAGCAGATACCGGAGACGATGGTAGTTCCTCCTGTGACGTTACTACCACAGGCTCACTCATTTTCTTCCGCGGCGTGTTCTGTGTCAATGTGAGGTTTTTAGAGTCTTCATCTTCTTCCTCCGACTCAGGGATTCCAGCTGGCGACGTCCGCCCATGGATTGAGGATGCCATCCGGTTCGCATTAAGATCCGAATGGGGGAACTGATGGTTGGAAACGTGCGCAAGTGGGGAACTAGCCGGATTCCCTGCTGCTGAGCTGCTGATACTCGACGAGCTCCCTCCGAATGTTCTGCCTCTGAGCTTCATCAGTCCACTAAAGCTCATATCATCATCATAACCCGGGGAGTCAAGTTGTTGAAGTAACTCCGCAATCCCGGGACTGGGCATCGAATGGGCTGAAGCAGGCATCCCCCCTGGTATCGCCAATGATACCACCGAGTTGCGAGTACTCCACTCACTGCGTTCGGTGATTGGCGTCAAGCTGGGTTCCTGGAAATTGGCCTTCCCACTGTGACTTCGCTTTACCCCGTTGGATCCCCGGTCCGCAAAGTAGCCGCCATTAACAAGCTCTGTATTGCCTTTTCCGTAGGATCGAGCATAAAACCCAAACTCTTGACCATAATACCCTTCGTCGTCGTTCTCCAGGACTTCGGCGTTAGCCTCTGCAATCATGGGATCGTCATCCATATCATCGTCGAAAGGAAATCCATCGTCCTCAGCAATGGCGGAGCCAAAATTGTAGCTGATACGGCTATCTTCAGAGACGACTCCATGCTGACTGCTTTCAAATGGCGACTGTGAAGTATCATCTGAGTTCTGACTGAAGCTGACCTTTCGATCAAATCTGCCATTTGCAGCAGCTTGGTTGGCTGCGAACGCCAAAGCGTCGTGATACGCAGCGAGATTCGTTTCGGTGAGTCCGGTGATGGAGCCACCACGACCGAAGTTCCCGTGGCTATTCGGAACAACTTCTCCGGAGTTTGCGTTGACACTGTTCTGATGATCATTGTGGTTCAATGAAAGTTTTTCGACGGCGTCCTCCCAATGGTTGACAGCCTTCACTTCCCCGTCCAGACCCGCTGCTTGTTTGGCTGCCTCGAATTTTCGGGCATTTTCAGCTGGTATATCGCGGATTCTGCCTGTATCGTCATCAAATAGTTGTTCGTCAAAAGTTGTTCCCGAAGGATCCAATTCGATGTGATCGAACTCGCCATCGTCAAAATATAGGTCTTCATCATCAAAAACCCCTCCTTGAGGACGAGAGGTCTGCTGAGAGCGTCTGCCGTGTATTTCGGCCGTCGTGATGCCCAGCCCTCCGAGCATCGGCACCTTTTCAACGTCAACGACGCTGTCGTTCGGAGGAAATTCTAGATTTCCATCTTGGAAAGACTCTCTCGAGTCGGCAATCCCAATAGCAAAGCCTTCGTGGTCGCGGGGAGTAGGCTGTGACGCATTATTGGTGCTCGTGGGACTAAATGTCATGGATTGAGGAGTAAAGTGGAATCCTTGTAGCGATTGTCGCTGTAAAGTCGTGGTCTTGACATCGGACGCGATCAATTCTTCGGTTTCTGATGGACCGTAACGAGCCACAAGCGCATTCCCTACCGGAATGTCGTTACCGAAACCATCATCTTCGTCAAAGTCTGCGTTGACTCCAGGGATCATTTCCTCTAGACCGTCATCCGCATCGAAGTCATAGTCAGCATACTCGTCCTCTTCGTCTCCATCCGGCACAGTGGTCTTCTTGATCGCCTCGTGTTGTTTATGTTTCTCTTCGAGCAACTTCTCTTGCGCTGACGATCCTCCCCCTCCGATCTGAAAGCTAAATCGTGAGGAAGTACTGGTCATGTGCTTTGGAATCGCCGCCGGTGGCGGAATATCAAACTTTGGGGACGGTGTACTCTTCGGAGGAGGCGTCGGAGGCGGTGGGGAGGCTTCTGGGGAGGCCTCTCCTCTCGGGGGCAACGGTAGATTCTCCTTTCCCGGTGGTGGTCGCTGCGGTGCTGGCTTGCTTCCTTCCTCGTGTAATCCAGGCCTGGGATCCGGCCCTGCTTGTGGAACAGCAGACGGTAGCCGTCTGGCGAATGCTGGTACGCTACTCTCATCTAGGTGGTCGTTGGGCATGGTGAGTGTATGAATATTGTGTAGGTAACCCGTCCGTTCGGGTTGCAATGCTGGTCGGTCATCCTGAAAGTGTTCCTTGAACATCGGGCTGTGTGGCATACTTGGTGGTCCATTTGGGACCAATCGGGATTTGGGTGAATCATTGCTTCTGCTGGGGTCTGGTCCGTACCCAGAACGCAACGCTGGAGATTCTACACTGCTGATGTCGTTGTGAGAATAAAGCCTTCGCGATCGTGGAACAGAGAAGTCATGGACAACTTTTCCTCGGATACTTGGGTCAAAATTATCTGGCAAGGCCGGTACCGACAGCGTGAGATTAACATCCTCGAGTCTCTGATTCTGGGAAGACCTGCGACGGGCCAATAAACTCATTGGATTCAGCAGATTCAGCCTGCTCTTTTTTCCCGTATGTCCTTTCGCTGGAACTGCTTCATCATGCACAGATTTGTCTGATATTTGGGTGGAAAAGCTGTAGTTTCTCAGGCTTGGAGACAACGCATTGTCTCCGAGCTTGACGGGCGGGTCAAGCACCTTTCTCTCTCCAGTATCGAGACGGACAGAGGGCGGAACAGCAGACGGCTTAGATGCGGAGTCTGATCCTATCACTGGGGATTTTGCATAGGAGATGGGAACAGCGTTGTTCCGCTCGATCGCGTCACTTGTCGCAGGGCGGGCAGCTTCGTCAGGCGGTCCAAGCCTGTGGCGCCCAGTTTCCTCGGACGATCTCTGTTGATGTTTCGGTTCGACCGCAGGGGATTTGAGAAAAGGAGGGACGGATGGTACGGACGCAGAGCGGTCGTAGAGGGGAGATGTGAGTGTGAGGTTTAGGCTGAGCGAAGGGCTGTCCGACTCATCTGTCGCGGACGGCGTGTCGATAGGACTGAGCGCCTCGCTGTATCTATTTGGACGGTCAAGAAGTCGTCTTGGATAGGAGGGAGAGGATGGTGAAATCTGGTCAGATCTCCGCCTGCGACGCTGCAGAGGGGCATAGGACGGCTTGTTGGCGTTCATATTGTAGTCCTCGAGTAGCAACAAGTGGAAATAACCGCTGGAGGTTCACTCTTGACCATTCTCCGACTTCCCCCCAGCCTAGAAGGACAAAGATTTACGGCTGCTGCATTGCTAAAAGGGTAGAAGAACGATTGCTCGGGCGCGCAAATAAATGGTGGACTCGACTGCGGTGTGCAGTTCTCGCAGGCAATGGGTGCGGTCCGTATCGAAGCACAGACTGGTAGCGGGGCAGTGTCGAAGAGTTTTCAGATGAGAAATGCCGTGGAGAGATCTGAGTACTGTTTGCTGTTGACAAGGCTGGATAGCATTGAGACGAAGAGTGTGTTGACAGCTTAATTCCACGCATTCGGATGTCGAGACTTGATCCGTCGCGGGATGAGAGTGGAAGGGTCGGCCAATCGAGGTGCCACATTGGCAGTCGTCAGCCCATCTCCACACCACTTTTTGAAAGGCGTTTGGGAATAATGAAACTCGGGAACAGGCACTTGCCTGACACCTGGGCACGGGCTCGTGGGCGCTGGCCGTTGGTACTGGGCAAACGGAGCCAGCCCCCAAAGAACAAGGCGGCCATTCCCAAATGGGGTCAGATGGAAGGAGCCAAGGGGTCTAGCGGGCCTCTAGAGCCCGGAAGCAAGCCACTGGGCTTGGAAAGTCTGGGGCACGCCCGGTGCGGCGCCTATCGTTAGGCACTAGCCGCCTAAGACCAGTACCGAGTACTTGTACGAGAACTCTGGTACTTGGAAGCTCCCTGGATTGAACTGGTATGGCTCTCGAGCAAAATGCGTGACGACGAAATGTCAATCCCATCTCCCTCATCACTATCACTCAACTCGATCCCATCAGTCTATGAACAATGACAACGTGACGGACAACAGGAAATAATCATGTCCTGCCTAACCTCTCCCCCGCAAGTCTCAGCTCTTGAACACTTTTCGTCGCATAATCCAGCAAGTTCCACGTTTCGTTCTCCCGGGAAATCCCTCTTCCGCCCCCGACTGCTTCATGTGTACCTGGCAAGCTGGATTGAGAACCCTCGTCACACCCTCTCGAGCAGCGATCTTACATGAGTCCTCCTAGAGATAAAAACACTTTGAGACCTTCCCGCTTCCTGCCAGAAGACCGATTCCTGGTCAGCTTGAAGCCTGACCAAGTCCGTTCCAAGAAAAGCTGCTTACTCCAGGCTGTGCCACCGCCCGGCTGCTTCGTCACTCCTTCCCCTCACCGCAAAGAGATCATGATCGGAAGAAACCGTGTAAGAGGCAATAGTCACATTAGCCACATAGGGTGGTAGCAAATGATTTAATACTTTTCATACTGTCCTCACTTCAACTTCTTTGTTTTCCTTTCTGCCCAAAAAGACCCTTCCTCGACAGCGTCATCATCATGAATTGCCCCTCACGCACAGACGACACCGAAGCACACCCGGACTGGAACCAGAACCCGCAGGCCCTGAGCTCAGACCTAACGACCAGAGCAGACCTCAATGGAATTGTGAATCTCAGAGAAGAGAGACGCACAGAGTCAAGTCCGGATAATGACGCCCAAGAAGACATTCGGGTCATGCCTGTCGACAGTCCAGAATCACCCTCCCGTGTCCTCAAATCACCCACCGCTGTCAAGGTTGATCCGCTGGAGCAGCAGCGAGCGGCCATTCAACAAACCCACCCTCGAGGATTTCAATTCTTCAGCTCCCCAAGTGCCTTTTTGAACAAGGCTATAAACACAGCGCAAAAGTATGCAAAATTCGTGGGTCCGGGTTTTCTCATTGCCGTTGCCTACATCGATCCAGGAAACTATGCTACGGATGTCGAGGCGGGCGCGGCGACGAGATATGCTCATTTATTCATCATCCTCATGTCCAATCTGTTCGCCATCTTCTTGCAATCTCTTTGCATCAAGCTAGGGAGCGTCACCGGGCTCAACTTGGCTGAAAATTGTCGGAAACATCTGCCCAAGTGGTTAAATCTTGTTCTTTATTTGTTTGCGGAATCTGCCATTATAGCTACAGATATTGCAGAGGTAAGTCAGGCTCTTTGCTGAAGCGGCCTGTTCTGTTGGTATCTATCTAACCTTGAATCATCCAGGTCATCGGTTCAGCCATAGCCCTAAATCTTCTTTTGCACATCCCTCTGATTGCAGGATGTGCAATTACGTTGGTGGACGTCCTGATTCTTCTCCTTTTCTACCGTCCAAACGGCTCTATGATGCACCTGCGTCTGTTTGAGTATTTCGTCATGAGCCTCGTCCTTGGTGTTATGGTATGCTTTTGTATACAACTCTCATTCATCAAAGACACTAGTGCCGGAGAAGTATTCAAAGGATATCTTCCGTCTTCGGCAGTCGTTGAAGGAAACGGTGTCTATTTGTCCTGCGGTATCATTGGAGCAACAGTCATGCCTCACTCTATCTTTTTAGGCTCTGGTGTTGTGCAGCCACGCCTAAAGCAATTCGATACGCAGAACGGGCACATTGTCGCGGGCGAGGAATCAGACAATGAAGAGGAGAAATACGTGCCCTCCATCTATGCTATCCGAGCCTGTCTCAAGTACTCGATCGTGGAGCTTGCTTCTTCCCTCTTCACTTTTGCCTTGTTCGTCAACTCGGCCATTCTCATTGTCTCAGGAGCGTCGCTTTATCCGGAAACAGAGGCGACAGAGGCAGATCTTTTTGGCATCCACGACCTGCTCAGTAAGAATCTTTCCAAGGCAGCAGGTACTATTTTTGCGCTGGCCCTTTTACTGTCGGGTACATCTGCTGGCATCGTCTGCACCATGGCGGGCCAGATGGTGTCTGAGGGCATGCTGCACTGGACTTTGAAGCCCTGGGTACGCAGGCTGATCACCCGATCCATCAGCATCGTCCCCAGTATCATCATCGCAGCAGCAGTGGGCAAAGAGGGCTTGAACTCGGCCTTGACTGCCAGCCAAGTGTGCCTCAGTGTCATCCTGCCGTTTGTCACTGCCCCCCTCCTCTGGTTCACCTGTCGAAGCCACATCATGACTGTGAGGACGGACAACAACGGAGAAGCGGTGAATATGCGGAATGGTTGGATTGTCACGATCCTTGCTACGATCATCTGGCTTGTGCTAGTAGTGATGAATGTGGCTTTGCTGGTGCTTGTTGGACTGGGAAAAGCGTAACGTTGAGACCTCTTCTCGATCGGTGTGGAAGTTGGGATGTGGTGTGGAAGTTGGGATGCGGTGTGGAAGTTGGGATGTTGCGTGGTGAAGGGGGAAACATGATCAGTCTCGACTCGCTGCCATGTGTTTCCTCGCAGCCGACTGGATGGGAGATGTTGGGTGGGAATTGCTGGGTTCTGGCGCTACATAAAGATATGGAAGGTAGATACATCAAAGCATACTCCGTGGATAGCTCAAGCCCACATCCATTCAAGATGTGGCGGCCTGAGGAGAGACCTCGGCAGGTTGCTTCATCCTTTTCTTCGCCTCCTCGCTCAACTTATCCGCCTCTTCTCTAGTAGATTCAGGCAACTGACCCAAATTTCCCAGCTTATCGAAGAACCATATCCGGAACTGTTTCAGAGTGAGTTAGCACGGCTATCCAGAAGTTATCCCCGTCAAGAGAAAGGCAATGGGCAGGAAACTCCCTCTTACCCCGTCAAATGGCGTGCCCTGTCCGTGACTCGGCTCGCAGATGAAGACGAAATAGATGATTGTGGCCGTGATCAACGTCTGCTGCAGTAGCTTTATGGCCTTGTTCCACCTGGGCCGCGCCCACTTCAAGGCGGCCCTCCTCCTGTACGTCTTCTCGAAGTGGAACTGTTGCTTGGGGTCGAGGTTGCGGAAGTCGGGCGGCCACTTCTTGCGCGCGCGGTACGGGTTGTTGGTCACGCGGAAGGGCGCCGGCGTGTACGACGCGGACGGCTTGGGCGCGATGCCCAGCAGCGACAGGAACCATGTGTACGGCGTCAATCTGGTGCCTGGGATTTCGACCGGCGGGGGCGGGGAGCGGGACTTTGGGTGTGCGTAGAGCGGTCGTGGGGTGGGGAGGGAGGATAGGACTGAGGAGGAGGAGGGCGATGGGAAGCTGTCGTAGGATGCGTCCGGCTTGGGTGACGATGCAGCTGAGGGTGGTGCTACCTGGCGGGTGAAGTTTGAGGGTGCGTATGGCGACGGAGAAGAAATGGCGTGGGATGAAGCATGGCGGCTGCTACTTGGGACGATGGAAGTGCGCCGACAATGCTTCATAAAGACCAGAGCGCGAGAGGCTCTCGCAGATGCCACCATGCCTGTAATGCGGCGAGGGGAAATATCGCGAGTGCAGGCGTGCTGAAGCTTACAATGGGCAACGAACTTGCCTGTTGAGCACAAAACGACTTGAGGTCTTGAAAATGCAGTCGGAAGAATAGATTTTCCGATCAGCATATGAATTCCCGCACTACCTGAATTAGGCATTGGCTCCGGTGGCTCTAATTACAATAATAATCATCGGGGTGACCGGTGACCGATCCATGACCTCATTCGTAGTTGTTGCGCTGCAACACGCACATGCCTCGGCATCAAGCAATCCAACAAACGCATATGCTACAGAGAAAATTGCCAGGAACAGATTGAAGACGGTATCATGGACCTTGTGACTTCGGTGATCATAAATCATTCAGACATTTCCCACACTCCTTGATCCTCTTCTTCTCGTTCTCTCCTTCTCATCTTGACTCCTTCCACGTCTATTTTCTTTGCTACCTTTCATAGTGATTGTGCCCTACGAGCCAACATGTCTGCTGGTATGTAACGCCCCTGCGATCTGTCCTCGTGTCACTAACATGTGAAACTCTGGCATTATAGCACAAGCCCGCCTCTCCCAGGTTTCGAGCCACCTCGGTGGCAGTAAGCAGTCCATCCTCTCCAAATCCCCCGACGATGTCGTCGTCACCTGTGCCATCCGCACGCCCTTTACGAAAGGCGGCAAAGGTCTCCTGAAGGACACCGCCGCCGCGGACCTATTGGCACTCACTTTCAAGAACCTCATTGAGCGCTCAA